GCGCGCGCTCATTTGTAAGTGTGATTTATTTTTACTCGATTTGAAGGTAGTACTAGCAAATCAAGTTCTATCCTATTTCGTTGTCACGTTCTTTCCAATGAAAAGAAACTACGTGGTGTAACCCACATATTTTAAAAAAACATAAATATTTCAAGGACACTCATTAACTTGACGGTTTGCTTTCATTGCCATACTTATTTAATAAACATCCAAACCCAGACGATATTTTCATAGGCCATGCAAACATTTATGTTTCATTTTTAGCCTGATTCAAAGTAGGAGCTAAACAATTAAATGGTTTCGTTTATATTACGCGATATGTTCGGCAATCGTGAACCGATTTCGATGATTCTCCTTGAATAAGTGGGTTATAATTCGGGAGTGATCCTTAAAGATTTTAAAAAAAATTTTCACGATTTCTAGTGACAAATTGACATTTGATATTGAGTTTTTTTAGAATTTCTTAGTCCACTTAAAAAAGTAAAAAATTTATACAAAATAGTCCTGATAAAAGTAATTATTTCATATTCTGAAGGCAGGACCGATCCTGAAAAAAATTTTTTTTATAGGATAGGGTGACAAATGAGCACACAGTCGACCCGATGGTAAGTGATTGCTGTGGCCCATAGACATCTAAATCTATCCTTGATTACGAATCAGAATGCAGATACGTTGTCACCCGTGAGGACTAAGATGGAATGCCTCTATTCCAGTAAAACAGGCCTCCGGTTCTCTACACTCACCATACGAAACACGGCAGCATTAAGCTACTACTTGACGCTGGTATTCTGTTAGAGCGTAACGACCACGCTCTCACAGAATACCCGGTACAGCCGACCACTATACTACTAATTTACTTGCAGCATGGCTCTACCACGTATGAATTTCATATTTATATACAATAATATTATGTCTTGACACTAACTGCAGAATGCAAAATTGTTTTATTCTTTTTTAGTTGTTTGTAATCTTATTTTACTTTTTACTAAAAATATTTTTAGTCAAATTCAGGAAAAGGATTAAGTTCTAAATTTGAATGTATGACTTTTTCTGCAAACGTTTTTCACGCAAGTTTCACGGCATATTTTGTGAGAGTGCGATATTCCTCTGTCCATTCAAATGAGCAAATAATTACTTATAATAAACCATCTATGTGGATTTCAAAGAACTAAGAATAAATAGGTGTTAATTAATTTTAAATGCTGAAGTTGGGGCTTTAGTTCTCCTTCTCTATCTTAGCGCCGTCTTTAGAATGTGATAGTATTATTTTTAAATAGTTTATACTTTGTATTAAATATTTTCAAACATTTTGTAATCATTCTGTGGTTTGAGTTTCCTGCAAACCGTAAACATGAACGATAAGATGCGTCAACAATCATAATCCATTACACCATAGTTCCCAGAGACAACTCTGTGTCGCAGAGTTTGTGTTGCATATTACAGGATATTAGCAAGTTATAAGCATTTTGGTGCCTTTGACAGTAAACACTTTGCTTGTTTTTTGACAAGGTATCTATGAAACCGTTAAACACACAGGGGATGTCATCCAACATGCTTATAAGATCCATTTCTCCAAAGTGTTGATGTATCTCTGAAAACTATTTTCAAATGTTATTATTACTATGCAAAAATTTCTCTAAACACAAGCTGCATAATCCACCCCTTTTCTGCCGACATTCTATGCATTTGGCCCAAACGATTTACTTCGTCTTTATTTTATTTAAAATATAGTTCACAGTTAAATTTTCAACTTGACATGCACGCCAAGAAAGGCAATTTTCAAAGTCAAATGAAACCGTTCTTTAAGTGCACTTAAATTTAATTTCGTTCATGCTAAAATGACAGCAATTTCAAGCCGTTGAATTCCGAAAAGTTGTTGCATACTTTAGTGATGCTACTGTTAATTGAAGATGCGGAATTTTTGTCGTCAGTAAAAATGCAACCTCCTTATAACTAGGCTAGACTTAGGCGACTAGCTCATTCACTTTTTTGAAATTTTTGACGTTAAGTAGTATATTTTACGTGGCAGAGTTACACTGCAGCTGTATTAATATTTTGGCATGAATGAGTTCGATTGCCTTGACCTGAACTCCATGTCTCACAGAACACCAACGTAAAATGTCAGCCTAATGGTGCTGTCTTTCGTATAGTGAGTGTGAAAATCCAGAAACAGTCGGAAGGACTGAGATGGAATCTCTAGAAACGAGGCAACCCATCTCAATCCTCAGGGTTGGTGACATAGTATCTTTTGTATATTCGTATATTTTGATCTTTAATCGAAATCAAAGGTCTATTGGATATAGCAACCACTTAGTATGAGATGCTGTGGGCTCGTTTGTCACCCTTATTCTATGAAAAATAATATTTTCTCATATTTGGAAGTTATCTTTGAAAGTTTTACTCCAAAATTGAAAATTATTTGGCGGATATATATTTTATTAAGTATGATCCCGAATTTCTCTGTCAAGGCGCAACCGTTAATGATTCTTCTTTCAATTAATAATTACCTGTAATATCTTTTGAATAAAAAGTATTCTATTCCATTCTAATCTAACGTTACTATTTAAAAGACGTTCTAGTCGGTTTGTCATTCAGAAGATTGTTATGTAAAGTTATTTTGTTATTTTTTTACTAAGAGATCAGCCACTGCAGTCTTTTTCACCTGAGGATGCCCCTTTCAACCCCTGGCAACGCGCGATATCTAATAAATATGAAGAGGCAATGTCTCAGGGCTATGCACTCTGACATAATTGAGCGCGGCAGTTTCCCTCCATGCTAGCTGGGTTCTAGACCGTTCCCGTCACCTCTGTTTGTACCCGCTGCTCGTCAGATGAGGTTAAGCCTGTGGCGCCCCATTTTTGCTTCGTGGACCTATCGCGTGTCACTATGCAATGAATTCGTATTTATATTTTTTTCAAATTGATTTGCATATTATGTTCTATTTGATTAGCTAATGCGTGACTATTTATGTGATCACTAGTACCTAACTACTGAGATATTCATCAATGAAAAAAGTTTTTTGTATTCCTATTTTTAGTTTTTTTTTTGTTCTTGTTTTGACGTTCTTATATTATTAATTGATGATAGTTCTAATATTCTTTTGACTTTTTTTATTTTTTATCTTTTTATGTTGTACTACTCACGAAAAAAATCATTTTATTATTTGCATATTCTTATTTATTTCACCAATTCTCAGTCAGTTACATTTTTTACATTTTTTTTTCATATAGGAGTGCGTTTTCTACTCTTCTATTTTTATTTTATTATTTAGTTCAAGTTAAATGACTGTTTATTAGCTTTTGTATTTATTTTAATGGAAAGGATACAAAAAACTGAATTAGTTACCCTTACAAGAATTATATAAATGTTATAAAAAACATTAAACATTTATAATTCTTCCAAAGCGATAACTGCTATTGTTAAAATAAAAAGATAGTATATTTATTCAACACAAATTATTTTAATGGGTTAGTAAAATTATTTTTATTTTTGTTTTTAAAGTCGACTTTTCAAATATATGACATATGTATTACAAAATAAAATTTTATCATATTTTTAAATATCGGGGTTAACAGTAACAAATATAAATCAGTAAAAACTTTTTTTAAATATACGTCGCATGTTCATTTTGAATGTATTTTTTCCCTTCATTCATTTAAAAAGCACTTCCCGCATGTTTTCTTTACTGCGAACTATTGAATGGGGAGTGATTTAAAGTATTTCAAATGTTTCGTTTTCTGTGAAAAAACTCTTAACATGTATGTTTATTTTGTTATTTTCAATTATTTATACTAAAAGTACTTATATAAAATTTGAATTTGTATGTTTTGCTCGGCTTTGCGTGCATGTAAAATTCATCCGATTATGATAAGATTTTAGCGAGCGGCCTGGTAAACAAATCCGATACAACACGACCATAATTGTTGTAATTTTTATTTTATATAAGTAGTAAATAACAATAATATGATTTAAAATTACGCATACATGAAAGGTATCGCCATCTTTTTTTTTAATTTGACGTGGGACATTACTTTATGCTCCAACAAATTGACAACACGCTGTTTTTGTAAGACGTTGATTCAGCTGCACAATAGATTTAGTTCAGTGAGCAGTGCGGCTGCAATAAATTTTAATGTACGCATTGGACCGAATGGACTTATACTTTGACTTTTCAGAGTGACACCTGGGTATGGTTATTCCCCTCCGATCCGCCGGTGGCCCGTGTTACTCTATGATAACAACATTATTCGAAATAAAATCATTATTAGTATCATCTTCTTTCTGCCCTTCTTCTTCTATTCACTTCTATCAGGCGTCATCTCATCACTCACTCCTTTATCAAGCATATCATCTCAAACACAGTCCATTATTCTTTTGTTAGGCCTTCCTCTACTCCTCTATCATTACAATTTCGTAAATAAAATCATTATCATTATCTTAAAACAACATTTTGTTTAGTGGGTTTTAGGGCAAGTAAATGTCAACTCCGTATTTATCCATATTTTTTAATTTTCTTTGGCATGCGGGTTTTCTCACGATGCTTAACATCACAACCAGCACGTGGTAAGTCAACACTTAGAATGAAAATTTACAATTTCGTTGGTGGGGATCGAACCCAGGACTCTCGCGTACTTGGAAATGTACATTCATCATTACATCACGACATTATATAGGGCTTGTCATTAAAACGTTAAAATTAAAAAATGGAGTTTGTTACACGTATTTACCTACGTATTTTAACGAAACAAGGCTAATTGCCCGTAGCAGAGTGCGATAACAGATTTTACGCTGGCTTGTTGGCTCTGTGTTGAACATGTAAATTTTAAATAGCAGTACTGAAGTACCATCTGCCATTTGTACTTTAGCAATACTGCAGTGGCTGTTGTAAGATTAAACCGCGAAATTTTGGAAATGCAACTAAGTTAAATGTGTGATACGTAAACTGTACCAAATTGTAACAGAGCGTTATCCTATCGATAAAATTAAAGTAACCGTTACCGTTACGGCTCAAAAGTCTCATAAACATATAAAGACTCATAAGGATCCCTCGATGTATTTTCCGTAGTTAACACTTGCTAGAAAAGTTGACAACCGTAGTTTTGTATGTTTTAATAACTTTATAATCACAACTAATACTTTTTAATAACACTACAAACAACAAACAAAAACAACAACTAAAAAAAATAGTTATTAGAAAGACGCTGCTGCCCATTCCCTGATATGTTCGTGTCTGTTATATTGAATGTTATGCAATGTTTATACGTGGTAATTAGTTACGGCGCTAAGGGCTGCGGGTTTCAATCCCGGAAGAATGAAGTATTTTTATGGAGGAGAAAATCCAAGTAGAGGGGGTAACACTTTTTGAAGAAATTAGAATAAAAAAGCCGTCTTGCACATTTAATGCTGCTGCCGGTTGCCACATAGGGAATTTTAGACCTGAAATACGAAATTCTCGGCCAATTACCTCAAAGAACCAACTACCAACTAGCCAGGAATTATGTATTTCGTAACGATTCGATACAATATATAATAGAAACTTTCAAGTGAATAAAGAATATTAGGTTAGAACCAAACGGATGACCGAGACCAAGACAGCGCCTCACCGCGTGTCCACTAAACATACCTCACCCGATTGACCTAAATATATTATTATTATTGGGGTATCTATATAATTTTCTCACCTGGTTGGGTTCTATAAATATATTTTTTTTTTTTTTTTTATTTTTTTAATTATAAATTAAAATGAAAAGATAAATATACATAAATATCAATGAAATAAAATAAATACAAAAACTACATAAATAAATAAGATCCAACCAGATGGGAGCCCTCGGCAGGGGAGCGGTATCGAGGAGCACCGCCCTCTGCATTTGAGCCCGGAGTGGTCCGTCACGGAGTCCCAGTCGCCTCAGATGACCCGAGAGGCTGACTGGGATTAGCCCATTCGCAGAGACGACTACAGGAATAATTTCGGTCGACACACCACCCCACATGTCGGTCACCTCGTGAGCCAGGTCCAGATATTTTGTTTGTTTATCTGTTTCGGCTTTCACGAGGTTCTCGTCATACGGAATGGTAATGTCGATCAAAAATATCCTTGACTGTGTCCGGTCCATCAGCACAATATCAGGCTTATTCGCAAGAATAGTCCTGTCTGTGATGATGGCCCGGTCCCAGTAGAGCCTGGCACGGTCATTTTCGAGCACGGCTTCCGGCAAGTACTTGTAATACGGCAATTACCGGTCCACGAGACCATATTTCAGAGCGAGCTCCTGGTGTAGAATTCTGGCTACTAGGTTGTGCCTGTGCAAGTACTCAGAGTTAGAAAGCGCCGAACAACCGGAGATGACATGCCTAAGTGACTCCCCGGGATGGCGACAAGCTCGACAGACGTCGACAGTGCCATCCTTTAGGATGTATCTCCGATAGTTGTTGGTCTTAATAACCTGATCCTGTATTGCACAGACAAAACCCTCGGTTTCCCCGAAGAGGTCACCGAAACGTAGCCAGTTGAGGGAGGCGGCTGTATCTACGTTAGACTCATGTAGCGCCCTGTAGTACCTCCCATGGAGTTCCTTCTCCTTCCATACGGTCTCCCGGTCGGAAATGCTAAGCACTGCCGGGTATTGCCATTGCTCGTTGGCTAAGGATAGAGGGGTAAGTCCTTTATCACTAGAAATGACGTCATTATAGAATGGATCATGCGATCTCGCCAGGAAGTGATGACGGAGGCTGCACACTTCGCGATTATGCATGGTGAGCGCGCTCAGGAAGCCACGCCCACCATGCTTTCGCGGCAAGTACAGCCTCATTACCGACGTTCTCGGATGATGCATCGCTATGGGACGTCATTGTAGTGCGGACTTTTCTATCCAGAGCGTTAAGTTCAGTCTGACTCCACCTGAGTATGCCAAAGGTATACATGAGGACAGGCATGACCCAACCTTTATATGCATGTGTCTTATTCACACCGGACAAAAGGCTGTTAAGTACTTTGGTCAAGCGTGCATAAAACACGTCGCAAACTGACTGTTTCATACCAGCCTCATCGATACCGATGGTCTGTGACATACCCAGGTATCGGTATGTTTCAGCCTCGGAAAGGGCCCTTAAGTTGACGGGCATAGATAAATCTATGCCCTCAGAGTTAGCAACCCTTCCCCTTTCAACATGGAGGACCGCACACTTATCCGTCCCCAGCTCCATTCCAATAGAATTGCTAAATTCACAAGTGATGTTTAGCAATTCCATAAGATGGGAGCGACTGGAGGCGAATAATTTGAGGTCATCAGTATAGAAAAGGTGGGTCACTTTTGTACCTCCCTTCCGAAGCTGAAATCCCCTCCCGGAGCCCTCCAGTAAAGTACTGAGAGGGTTCAAAGAGAGGCAGAACCAGATTGGACTCAGACAGTCGCCTTGGAATATATCCCTTCTTATCCTTATGCGGCTTTCCGCAGCCGTCATCCGCTCGCCCAGTGACAGAGGATCGTACTCCACTGCCCCATACACTGCCTGAGGAAGTCTCGAACTGTACAGTCAATTTTGTACAGCTCGAGGACCCTCTTTAGCCATGTAAGGGGCACCGAGTCAAATGCCTTTCTGTAATCTATCCAAGCGGCGGAGAAGTTCCGACGGTTGCGTTTCACCACTTTGCCAATGACCGCGTCAATGAGGAGAGGTTCCTTGGTTCCACGACCGCCGTCTCGACATCCATTTTGAGCGCGTGACATCACCTGATTTGAGTCCAGGTGACGAGCGATTCTCGCGCTCAAAATGGATGTTAGTGTCTTGTATATAGTCGGTAGACACGTTATGGGGCGGTATTTGCTCGAGTCTGTGGCACCCTGATCTTTAGGAACCAAATGAGTGATCCCAGTAGTGAAGAGGCTTGGGAGCGACTTCTGGTTGAGAGTCTCTTGAAACTGTCGGGCGAGCACAGCGTGACACACCATGAACCCCTTCAGCCAGTAGTGATGCAGCCCGTCAAGACCCGGACTTTTCCAGTTCGGGGCCCTACGGACCGCCTCAGCTACGTCATCCGGCGTTATGATGACGGGGTCCATAATACCCGCACACTGACTCACCACAACTTCCGTCCAAGGGCCCTCGTTGTAGTTTACGGGCTCTGACCACAGGCTGCGCCAGAATGCGACCGTGTCGGCCTGATTTGGTGCTGGGCCCGTTCCACTTACAATTGGTTGCTCCAATGATTTGTAGAGCCTCTTCTGATCACTCTGGAAGAGACGATTCTGGTTGAACCGTGTCAACCTCTCGGTATATCGCCGAATCCGCTTTCCCCAAGCAGCGATTCTTTGCTTCAGGTCGTCTATGCGCTCTGTAAGTTTTTGCGTTATATCCGGCTGGGACAAACTAACATTTGTCCTAGCAAACGCCATCCTGACGGTGCGCACCTGAAGCATATCAGTCAGCCGATGAGGGCCCTAGCCCTTGCGATACGTTCTTCAATTCTTATTCTCCGTGCTGGGATAGCACTACTTTGTCCAGTAGCGCGTCCAGCCGTGGAAAGTTTGGCGCCTATAATACGGCAGACTGCCAGTGCGGCGCCAAAAAGAATTGAGTCCGTCTCGCAAAGGTCCCGGCTGGCTTCCAAGTAGGTAACCAGCATTGGGTTCAGAGCCCTCACGACAGCCCGATTCAGCTTGCTTAGGGCTAAGCGGGGAAGTCGCGGTCGATTTTCGAGAGGCGTACTGCGCGTTTCCACATTCGCCTCCTCCAATGTACTCCTCATTTGCTCTAGTTCCATTTCCTGGGCGACTGTTCCGTCATCGTTTGAATCAACCACAACTGGCGTATTCACGGCGGCATCCACATTTGCCGTTTGCTCAGCAAGTTGTGGCGCCGCATCCTCAGCCGCAGCATTTTCACCAGATGAAGGAACAGCCTCACGTCGTAGCCGTTCGAGTTCTGTGACATCAAATGTATTTGAGCGCAAGATATACCGAACTCGGTCTCCCAGGTTTTTCTCGGTGACGGTTACAGATGGCTCCAGCTCAGCAAAAAGTCGATGCATCCTTGCCCGATACGCAAAACTTCCAGTTTCTCCCCCTTTCGCCCTAAAATACGCCCGCAATGCGTTGCTGTTCATCTGGGTTGTCCAACGCATGCGGCGTACTCCACCATATAAGTACTTATTATTATTATTATTATATTCATGCCACAAAACAACTGCGAAGAATAACAATATTATGTTTTAATCTAATAGCTTGAATAAAATATAAGTGTTAACCTCTCATCTGTGAAGAAATCAAAATGGAAACTGTCATGCCTGGGGTTGAATTCAGCCACGTCACAGACATAGGTTAATTTTGGCCATAAGTTTAAAAAAAAACTATAATATCTCCAGTTCTATTTTAAATTAAGGTTTTATTTTCTTTATCCATTAGTGTTCTGTGAGAGTGTGGTCCTACCCCGGTCGAGCCGACCCATTTGTGCTGCAACCACAATATAGCTGCAGCATGTCTCTACCACATGAAACGTGTTAACGTGTTGCTTAGATTTAGTTCTAAATATATTAAATAGTGCAAAAGTTTGCCCTTCAGTGAGGTGCCGCTGGTGCCGGTGGACGCGCTACCCGATCAAGATTTTTTTATAGAATTATGGACAACACACACAGTCAATTCAACTGATCAGTTCAAACTGGGATTGTTGATATTTTTTAAAATATCGGATTTTCGATATATCGATAAATAAACTTATATAAGTACTTATAAAACTCCGATATTGATATCCAATATTTTAAAAAATATCAAAAGTTTTAGTTTGAACTGTTCAGTTGGAATGACCAGTTGAACTGACCGTGTGTGGCAACCATAAGTTTAAAAAACTAGCGTAAAGTCCACCTGATGTTCAATAGACATTGTGACCCATAGACATCTACATTTCTGGCGACATTATCATCTTCAAGGTGGTGGTGTACCTTAGTACATGGCTGCAAAATGATAAAGAGGAGATAGGCTGCTTTTTAGACGACATCTCACTACGTTGGATTAAAAAAAAATTTAAATCCATCGTATATTTATTGTATGTGTCAATAACTGCAATATGCTAGAATCCAATGTATGAGTTGGACTAGGATGATAGTTTATCTTTTTTCTATAACACCTAAAACTGAACTCGAAAATATAGATTAATAAGTTCCTATGAAGATCGGACTTTTTCTTTTATTTTGTTTGCTGTTGCTTCAAGTACGTATACACCTAGTGGTAAAGTGGCGTATTTGTCAAACTTTAAAACTGTATAATCTACCAGCGTTATAAAATGAGGCTCCTCTGTCCAAAGAAGAAAATGCGAAAGAAACTACACAAGTGACTTCTTTTTTGTCGTTTGTTTTAAAAACGAAACATATGATATTCGTAATCAAAGTTAACCCGTAAGCTCTGACAGCGCGCGACGTGCTATACTCCCGTTCGCTCAGGACCTTAATGGCGGGAAAATTTGTAAGATAGAAAATTTTTTGCTATATTGCAACTTTTGCTATATTTTCACTTTGAGACAATATTTATGGATGATTTATGGACTTACAGGAATTCTTGTTGAATGTATAAACTATCGAATAAAATTATTTTTGGTTGCTAGAAATTGTAATAAAATACATAAATTACCCTGTATAGCATAGTAGTAGTATATACTTCAATTTTAGTGACAAAATTACTACTAATTTGAATTCTACACTTTTGTTTTTGGAGAAATTTATATGAAAATGTTTGGAAATATGTATATTTTTATGTTTTATGTGTTTCCATTCGTTACTCATACCAAAATATTAAAAAATTAAAAAAAATAATATTATTTTATCTGTATGACATTTCGAACAATATTTCAAAAATATTTTTGTGTGAATTTGAAATAAATACAACGTCAAGTTATTTGAAATATGTAAGAAAACTATTTTTACTTACATTTTACACTAAAAATAAATGAGAATTTGAAAAATAACACATTTATGACCCAACCGCCAAAATGGGCCTTCCGGATTTTGAAGTACTTTTGGCAATTTACTTTTCACTTTTTATACCACAAATTATATATCTACGTGTTTACTATATTACAAGGAATATAAAAAAGTATAATACTTTCGTTTTTAGTCCAGACACAAATATAAAATTCTATAAAAAAGACGGAGCACCTTCTTAAAATGGAATAGTCTCATAAGTTATCGAAGCTAGTTGTATGGAAAATGATACAAAAAACCAAATATATAGTTAAAGTAAACTTTCAGCCTATATACGTCCCACTGCTGAGTACTGTCCCATTCTAATTTCAAAGAGGGGTTTAGGGCAAGCAGATATCCGCCACAGGTTCTATTCCATCAAAAAGCAATTCTTAACATAGCGCCACATCGTGTGACAAACCTTTGCCATACAATAATTACGTAATATGAAATAAACTTGGAATTCAATAAAGTAAATATGTTATATGGCAAAGCAGAAATACCTTTTCGAAGATTTACTCAAACATTTTTTTAAACATTTCACTCTCTTGATAATGTAGTGTTTTTAGCAACTGTTGGTTTTGAAATCTTGCGAATGATATTTTACATAAACTTAGCACTATATCAATAGACCGTTCTCTCTCTCTCTCTTTCTCTTTTTCCTTGATTAAAATGCAGAGACGCACCAAATTGTTCAATTGATTGATACAGCAGTATTAAACCAATTCCTTCATACAAGTGTATTACAACTAGAATGTTAAAAGATATGTTGTACGAGTAGAGCCACGATATAGTTGTATTGTTGTTGTAACACGAATGAGTCAAAGCTCAGCCGGGGAAGAATATCAGGATAATACAGTGGTGTTTTGCATTTTAAAAGTAGCAAACTGGAGATCCTTTTTACTGGAAGTGAGGTATTCCTTCTTAGTACTCAGGGGTCTGGGAAAATCTGCATTTTATTTATTTTTTTATTTTATTTTATTTATTAGGTTTGCCAGTAATTGTAACAATAATACATCAATGAGTATTTAACAATAACATGTACAGCCAAATGCACAATTAATTAAGGTAAACACCACATGCACAAAATATTAAGGGTAGTAACATCCAATATTTATAAGTGACTTAATGTGTTCACAATAGATGAGAAAAAGAAAGAGAAAAAAGGAAACAATAACAGCACAGTATATAAATGAACATAACAATTACTTAATTATAACTCGACTATGGTTTTTTGCAAGTGTTTGCGAAACGTATTCGGATTTGTAGCATGGATATCTATGTTTTTACCATAATAGTTTAGAAGTCTGCTTGCTCTAGGGACAAATGAACTTGAGCCCAAAACTGTTGTGCGCAATGGTGGAACTAATGGTGATATTTTAGTCCTAGGTAATTTGTGTGGTACATTGAATCTAAATTTTCTCAGAAAGCCTGGGCAATCTATTTTGTTGTTAAATAATTTGTACAAAAAGACGAGATCAAGCATTATACGACGGTTTTCCAAGGTAGTGTACTTAAAGTGTTTCAATCTTTTTTTGTAGGAAAACCCTTTTTTATATTTATTGGCTGAGTAGGCTAGATGCCAAAGATATCTCTTCTTAATCCGTTCCAACCTTAAAGAGTGACATGCATAGTGTGGTCGCCATACTACACTGCAGTATTCCAGAATACTCAGGACAAAAGAGTTGTACATGAGCCTTTTTGTTTGCAACCTCCGAAACTGTTTGCCCATTCTAATAATAAATCCAAGCATGTTTGAAGCTCTTTTTATAATACTCTCTAAGTGGGCAGCAAAGGTTAACTTTCTGTCAACTATCACACCAAGATCTCTTATATTATCTCTTATATTTTGATTAGTAACCGTGAATAGGTGTAGATGACTATGGGTCACAGGGTTAACTTAACATCAAGTAAACCGTGGGTTTGTATACTTATTACGTTACTACTGATAGTTCTCTCTCATCGAAATGCAGAGAGATGCACATAATAGTACATGACAGATACAGTGGCAGCTAAAAGCGTCATCTGCGTTGTTGTTACGTCGTTGTTGTTACGAGTGCGTTGCGTCTAAAATAATGGAAGATAATATACGACTTACTTTATACTGCACAAAACCCAACCCAACCCAACACGAAACACAGTCGCATTATGCCAATTATGAGTCTGAGCGTAGTCCTTTTAACAATATAGTTACTAAAGTTCTTTAATAGGTCACCATTTTACTCTTCATTATTGAAAGAGCCTTCTATTAGCCCTTGTAGACAAAGTTCTCGTTTCTATTAAATGAACAACAAAGTTATAAAGTTCTTAAAGACTACTTCATTTAAATACTTTCCATCAGTAAACGAACTTTTGTTGTAGACAAAGTTATTTATCGTAAAGTCCTCAATGATGATCTATTTTTCTCTCAAGGATAGGAGATCTTTTTTTTAATTAAAGTACTAGGATTTTCTCTTTAATCGTGGAATCAGTTTACATACATAAATTACACGAGGATAAATATCCAGTTCCGGAATAATTATTTATATGCCATACGATATCTTGTACCGCGCAGCCCTCAGCGCCTCAACTAATTACTAAACTACTGCGTCAAGGACCGTCGAAAAGCTTCAGCAAGTCCTCAAAAAAAAAGTAGAATTTAACCTTATTCATTTAACAGCATAATTTTAATTCATATTAACCCTTCGTGAAAGTTCTATAATACGAAATGCGGTAGAAATCTTGGCGACAGAGCCAGTTTAATTGTTTTCGCATGAAACAGATGGCAGTCTGTGTGCCGAAAACGGGGATGGAAAGATAATTGTCCATTGCAACAATATATTCTCGCCGTCTCAGTTGTCTTGTCGTATTTCCAATTCTAACAATACTAATTTTATTTCCAAACAAATGAAGAGGATGTCTACAACATTTAATCTAATATTAACTAATTAATTTTAATATAACTGGTGACTCGTCCCGTTGCCTCGCTTGGGTAGCGTATCTTTTTATGTGGCGTTATTTAGATTAGACATAATCATCAACGACCGTTTATTTTATTACATTTTAATTTTTGATTTCTTAATTCATTACAATCAGTTCAG